TTTTTTTTTTTTTTTTTTTTTTTCAGGGCTAGCTTTTAGTTGATACATGTAGTTGCGGGAATCTTAGTGCTAATCGGCATGATGTATTGAAGTCGCCCCAATAGCTAATGTATTCATCTTATCCTGCCACTCTTTTCGCGAAGCTCGTAGACTATCTTCTCCGACTGCATTTTAATAAAAATACCGACTCATTTGACCATTTAATTGACGGTAAAAAATTGACGGTAGAAAACCCCATCAAACGTCAATACACAAAGATATACATTGATTTTCCCGCAGCCACTGAATGCTTTGAAACGTGTAAAAATTTGCATGCACCGTGAGTAAGTACGATGAACTTTCGATGAAAAGGGAAGCAGACGAAGCAAAAGACTGACGGCTTGTTGTTAATTTGTCCGTCGACATAGTTGCAGGCAACGTTATGACATTTTTTCACTGCTGTTTTCCCATTTTATTGAGCAAGACATTAAAATATAGCGGTGAAACTAGACGAGTAATTGCTAGTCGCTTGTTGATACCAATAAATATTTTATAGCATTTCGCTAGCTCCCGCTATCTCGTTTAATTCGCGTGTAACTATGTGAATATTTGAACCGAGTTGACCCACTGTAGAGTAAGAGTTTAAAATTGACCGAAAGATCGAAAGTCTACAACCTTAGGCTGTATTTTTTGCTACTCGCACAGAAATTATGATTTTGTTTTTCCGTTGTTTTTCTCAATAATTAATTAAAGTTAATTGCCTAGTTTTGCTAAAATAACGGAACGGTTTTCAGTTGCGGTGAAAGTGAAAAAGCTAAGATGATTTTTTTATCTTTTTTCTGGCATCACGTCCTGTATTTTAAAATGAACTGCCCGCGAGCAAATTTAAAATTGAAATAAATGACGCTTTTTTGAAACAGATACGACCGTGTTTTCCTTTTCTTCTTTACATTGTTTTATTTCAACCCTCTAGAAAATTGCCGCCACCAATTCTTACAATGCAATATCCTTTTCTCACAGAAAATCCTACATGCTAATATCCGCCAACAAATCACAATGTAATGGGTGCAAAAAAAAAAGGAAGGTAGAATAGCAAATGAAAGAACTTTACAATTTTTCTTTTGAGCGCTAAGTTTCACCTTTACACCTGGTGGGTGGTTTTCGCACGAAAACTTGGCATTTCGCAGAATTGTGAAGTTCAGCGGGAAGCTTGGCGGGAATCAAATACAACGCATTTTTTTAAAATGTTATTTTATGCAATCTGCGCAAACTTTTGTTGCTTAATGAAAATTTTTCATTCTCGATCTCATGAAGCCTCACTATTTTCAGGCAAAAGAAAATTGTAGGGAAATAAATTAAACCTTATTCATCACAAATTTAAGTGCGAGTTCGCTGTTTATCGTGTTAATGAGAGGACTTTGTGCTGTTTTGTCTTTAAGTAAATATTATTGACATGGTTTTCGTTTAATATAAACACAACACAGCTAAAACGAAACTTGAAATATACATTTGTAACTCAATTTGCTCTTTTTTAATGACATATGGGAAGTTTTTCATTTTAAAAGGAGACATTTCTCATCAAGATTACATGGCGGATTTGGCCATTTTTACGGATATAAGAGATCAAAGTTCTGTGAAAACTAAACCACATCCCATGGATTAATTGCATTCCCCCAAAGTCGCTCAAATCTCCAAGACGAAACATGGAGCTGTTTGTTCATCCGTTAACCCAAAGCCCAGTCTAAATAAAAATTACAGGAAGAAACGTTCTAGCTTGTACAGCACAATCCACGACTGGATTCCTTATTTTTGCAGAATACGAGTCCTCCTGTTTGCCCCCCCCCCCTCGACCTGTACTCCTACCAGGGGCGGATCTCCAATGGGCGCAGAAGTAGTCGAGACACTGTTAGAAAATGACGCTTTTCGATACTTAACCTCTTATTCCATTTAATTTGCGGGCCCCCCAATTCAATGTTGTGTGGTGCTGTGGTCTGTGCAGTCTAAGAACTAGAGAAATCAACGCTGTTTGGGGCAAGGGGGAGGGGGGAGGGGGGCGAATGTTTCCAAGACGCTCGAAAATCGAATTTCACTGTGAACTGTCTCAACACTTTTGTCGCGTACTGTAGGATAAATGGTGACTGATTTCATAAAATAATCCCCGAAGGCGCAATCTTCTTGGCTCAGGGGTCCTGTGCCATGATCCCCCAGGGAGTGTATTGGATTTTAACTCCCTCAAGTCCTCTTTCCGGGATTTTAAACCGATTTCCGTAAAACGGTGAAAACTTGTATGAATACGCGCCTGACTAAGGTTTTACGGCGATTAATTCGTTTGCAAGTGGAGAGCTTAGATGAAAGTGTCAAATTTTGGGCCTTTGTCATTTGTTGTCAGATCATTTCCAAAGGTGGTCTGTTTTTGTTTGTTTGTTTGTTTTTTATTACGGTTATATCCCCCTCCCGATATAAGCTCTCCCTGTTATATACTGTTTAGTTCCTTCCCCCCCAGGAGGTGGAAAGGGCCCCGTTATATATATGCTCTCCTAAAATCCTTAGGAACTTGTGTAAGCCCAGGGCTTAGATATATAAAGGCAGTTAAGTAATGTCATCTTTCGTTCGTTTATGAGACTAGTTCACCCGCATACTCAACGGATGGGAACCGCTATTAACCTGACTGCCAGAAAAAGTAACAGAACATCCTCAAACGCCTTAGGCAAACATGACATTGCTATTAACTTTTTATTATCTGATGATCTAATCTCGTTCAGGCCTGAATTTTTTTCAGGCTCTAATTTCACAACTGCCTTAGTTGTGTTTATAACTGCGATGATCAATCATGTCTTCATATCTTTCTCCGGAGTTCAAATATATTATCTTTCATATATTCACTTGTATTCTTCACAATCTACGGGTATATAACGAACTCACAATATAATCAGCTCCCAGTTGGCTTGATAGCTCAGTTGCTGGAGCACTGCAACGGAATCGCAGAGGTCATGGGTTCGAATCCCGTTCAGGCCTGAATCTCACAACTGCCTAAGTTGTGTATATAACTGCGATGATCAATCATGTCTTCATATCTTTCTCCGCAGTTCAAATATATGATGTTTCATATATTCACTTGCAAGCACGCATAGTCTTATAGCCATTTCAAAAAAAAAAAAAAACAGTTCAACTTTGGAACTAACAAATTTCAAATCATGTCCGCCTCCTTCACGACTACCAAAAATCAAATTGCGAGATATTGAACTGAGCAACTGAAACGAATAATTCATGAAAATTATGGCTGTCATTTGAAAAATCACACTCTGTGATCTCTTTCACGGAATTACAAGTTTAAACAACTTGTACAGACTAATGAACAGTACACATGCATGTACTGGTTAAGAACTTTCATTTGGACTGTAGTACATGAGGATTTCATCCACAAAATTTGAAACGTTAAAACCACATAGGCTCAGTAACGAAGACGAGGCTTCAAATCAGTGTATTCTAGTGAGATCGCTGGTAACAACAATGCAAGTCTTTTTTTGTTTGTTTGTTTTTTGTTTTTGCTTTTTTGTGTTTTGTTTTGTTTTGTTTTTTTTTGGTGTGACATGGGACGCATAAGGTAAATAGAGAGGGTTACGTACTCCTGAAAACCAGGGACACGGGCATATAGCAGAATAAATTGTGTGGGCAGAAAACCTGCATTTTCAAAAGTTCAACGCAAGACTTGTTTTTTGGATTTAGGATGAAGATCAAAAAATTCTCCCCAATAAAAAATGTCACGATCTCCATGAACAAGATTTTGCTCTTTGAAGTGTCGGTATGACCAGCAGAGTCTCATTTTATAGCTCGTAGAGTTACTGTAACCACTTTGAATTCAGCGTAAGACAATACAGAAAAGGCATCGTAACTGAAGGGCTCCAGTAAAACGTACGTGGGGATTGAAGGATAAAATACTTCTCAGAAAGCTTCACTCCGTTAGAGCCAACCCTTTTCTAACCACACGTATATAAATAAGCTATAAGGTGTGTTAGAACAGATCAAATCGCTTCTGTGTACTTTCAGAAATGACATTGTACACAAATTACACCATCAGGATTACATCAGTGTTTCTTACCATGTTTTCCTTCACTTTCAACATGGCGCAGTTTCAAGACCAGCGCGAACGGTTTATTTAATAACCCTTTTATTTCTTGCCATATTTTCCTCCACTTTCAACATGGCGCGATTTCAAGTCCCATCCCCGAACGGGTTCTACGAACGTAACACGGACATAACTGGCAGACGTTCTTAAATAATCTTTTTATTGTTAAATTTCAGATGCGAATCGTTATCCTATACGCTTATAACTGGCATAACAAGTACTTCGACCAAGTGGTGCTGGTGCTGACCACGTTGGATCCTCTTATAAATCACTGCGTCTGTCTATGGACTATGAGAAAATACCGCGATGGCTACGCATCCTCGCTGGGCAAGGTCTTCTCTTGCTTCAAGCCTTCGGAGGAAGGGATGTTTCGTTCCGCCATCACTCGGATCAGCTCTATATCCAGGCGTTCTTTTAGTCGCTCGTCTTCTTCGGCTAGGTCATCCTCCATGCGAACATCAAGAAGAAAATCTTGTAAGTTTGGAGTTGCACTTTTTTAGATATAAAGGAAAATTATTTTTAGCTCAAATTGTCGGCCATTTCCTCGTCCTGTATTCATGGCTTTGGGTTACTGATAAAGAGCGGCGAGACTACCGCGCGATATTCATTAATTATATCATTTCTTGCAAGGAGACAAGTCTCGTTCATCTCGTACGAAGCCTTAAAATCTTAGTGCACTAAGATAGATAATCACCAAAGGAATTACAGTGATCCATAGAGGACTAAAGATGGATCAGAGGGGGAAGATTGTTACGAAATTTACGAAAGAACTGTTCTTTTTTTTTCCCGTGCTAATCTTTGCCGGCAGAAGGGCTCAGGAAGAGACAAAATTGAATTATTTTATAGATTAATGGAAGGAGTTCGTTGTCATGTGTAAAATGCTGCCAAAAGAAAAAAAAAAGCTTATCGAGCTGTTGAAAAATTAGAGTAATTTATAATTTCAGTGGTTTTAAAACCACGATAGTTCCGCGCAATGACGAGAAGATCGATCACTTTTCCGCAAAACGTTCCGGTCGGTCATTTTGAATTGAAGATTGTAGTGTATGGTTTTCTGGGCGGCTGGTTTCCCAAGATGATATAGTGTTTGCTATTTTAGCCGGAATAAACGTTCTTAAATCCATTGTCAAACCAGCAAATGTGCCATTTAGTAAGCACTTTATTTCTGTTTTGTATTAAAATGAAGTTAATTTATATACGCCCAGATTCGATGTCTCTTTACAGCTCTGCTGCATTTTTCATGAAAAAAGTTAAATTCTGCCGGGCCTAAAATTCAGTTTTTCTTTGTCCTTTAAAAACGGTCGTTTTTATGCCGGTTCGTTTTCAACTCTGGGTCGCGAAAAACATTTTTCCTTCCTCCTCAAATATATTTTTTCCACCCCCTCAAATTCGATATTCAGAGAGGCCATCAACCATTCAACAAGATCCGTGATGGCCCCTTACCTGTTTTTTGTTTTTTTTTTTCCTTCTTATTTTCTGATTCTGGCATCCAAAAATCCGTTTAAAGAAAGCAGTAAACGCCAGTCCCTGAGTGTTCAAAAACTCTGTGTTTTGCGACGTGGAAAAGTTTTCGCAAAGATTTTATTGCGTGGTGAGTGTTGGAAAAGAAGCAAACATTTGTCATTAACAGCCATAAAACCCGTGTCCATGAGATGCGTGGTAAGACGAGAAACACGAAATCTTTTTCCTTATTATACATAGTGACGTCCGTTTTATTTTTTATATTATACACGGTTTATTCAACGTTAAGTGTTTCTATATCATTCGAGTGCAAAGGAGATCTCTTATCAACTTATGATAAAATGAACGTCGATTCGTTTTAAGTTTTCACCAAAATAAATATTAACTAAGGTTAACAGATTGCAGTCAACGTCAGCGTTTCACGAGACCATATCCCGCGCCAAACAGTCGAGTGGCATAATAAGCGCCGCTCCACGCTGTGTGGAACCAAAATTAAAATTTTCTTGCTCAGTCAGTCATGCATGATTCGTTAATTGTCTCCTTGCGTGTGGCTAAATCGACTAAGTATTGATAATCACTATATTTCACCTGTTACCCTTCCCTGGACTTTAAGGTCAATAAATCGTGTATCAGCCCGCCGAGTGATTTATTACTACGCTATCAAGCACGGTTGTTTTGAATGTTCAATAAGTTCTCAGGTTCCCACGTCTGATTTCGGCATTTCTTTTTTTCTTACAGTGCATTCACCATTCATAGAAAACGTCTCGGCAAAGTACTTCCAATCATTAATTTTGAAACTGCAAAATGCGACACCTTGTTGATGTTACAACATGCTGAGTTTAAAGGACAGTTCTACCACTCAATTACCAAGTCGCCATAGATTACTTAGCTTTTATTAATACAAATTTCTGACTCGTTTTTATTCCGTGCAAGCGCGCTTCGTGAGTTTTTTTCTCCATCGATCGAATATTTACCTTTCAGTGGTTACTTAATCCAAAGATTTAGTAGTAGATAATAACTCTTTCTCCAGTTGAAGTTCGTTCTTTGATAATTTTTACCCTCGTCTGTTTTGATCCCGCTTCCATTACTGTTTTCGTGCATTTCTCATATTTGTAGTTAAGGAAATTTTCCATGTTGATCGGTTTTCGTGTTTTCGTGATCGAATTGAGTACGTAGTTATTTTAAGTTGTTGTTCAAAGCGAAGTACGTATATTTTGAAATATAATCACGTCATATGGAGCTTTCGTGGTTTGTGATCGCGTTGTTTCCATGATTGTCATAAATATTTAACTGCAAAGCTTATGTTGCACGCTACTGGTTTTAACTGTTTCTATCAAAGAAAACCTGATCAGTAAGTACTTTCAGTCGCCTATTTCTTATATCCTTCAAAATGCGAAACTATTGGCCGAATTTTCCTGATAATGCTTCGGTAAACTTTTTGGGAAAAGTCTTCCCAGAAACGTGATCACCAATCACCTGCCATTAATACTTCATCCATTTTCTTCAACTGTTAATAACTGAAAGATACTAGGTTATGGATCCACTACAAATCAGAGCCGGGTTGTTCAAAGCCTGATTATGCTAACCCAGGATTAGCGAGAATTTTGATTGCAGTTTTGCAATTTTCGGTGAGGTTTTCTGTTTAAATATTGTTTGTCTTCCAGTGTTGAGCGTGATTTATCTCAAAATACACAAAACATAAGAAGTAGAATATAATTTATTCAAGAAAAATTTATGCTTCGGTTAAATTTTAATCCTGGGTTAGCGTTAACCGACTTTCATACAACCCGGCCCTGGTATTTTTAATTTGTTTGAAGCCCAGATCCCACTCTGTGTGTAGTAAAAGAACTCGTACCCAGATTGCACTCTGAGTGTAATGTATAATAATGGTCTGGGCGGTAGAATGTTCAAATAACAGTAGATTATCAGCTATAATCTCTGCTGAGGGGAATTCAATTAGTTTTAATTGTTTTATTTTTTTTTCCTTTTAGCCGCCGCACATACGTACAAACAAGTGGCTCAGAATAACCCAGATGTGCCGGGACCCATGCCGGCACCAGTTCGTGCGGAGATCCAGTCCGACCCCAAGGAGCTTGTAGAACAGGGCCACTCAGACGATCCTTAACGATGGCCGGCCCATCATGCTAGAGGTGCTACAATGATAATAGTGACCTTCCTCAGGACCACGGGGACTACTTCGATATTTACAACGAAGTTCAGACGATCGAGGCGCCAGGAATCAGATTAAGAATGTCTATATCACCAAGCTTCATTTGATTACGACCTTGCAATTTTCATCAGTTGATGTACTTGCCCATATATTTAAAATGTAGAATGAAGTTGAGGTAAAATACTTATCCCAACTAAAAGCTGATTTGCCCAAAAACATCGAGGGAAGTTCTGCCAACCTTTCACGATGCGCTACGGTATCCGTTAACATGTTAAAATTTCAAACACGAAAAAACAAATACTTAGAAACGTTTTGAGGGCGTATAATAGAAGGGGCCTCCCTAGAAAAAGCTAACGCTCACAATACTTTTAAAGTTGTCCTCTCAGAACTATTCCAAACAAAAATGAAGGTGATATCGAACTTGACCATAGGCTGTTGTAATGTTTGGGGTGGTTTAATTTTCTCTCGACTGTGGTAAAACCAAAACCCAACAGAACATATTTGGATAATCACAACAACACGGGAAAAACACGATGAACCAATCAGACCTCAAAGAAAAAGCTTCCAACGGGTGCCAAGCGCGAGAAAAGAGCCATTAGTGCAGCGCGCGGGAAAACAGCCAACCGGTGCCAAGCGCGGGAGAGCTTTCAGCAGAACTGAATTTGATTCTGCTTCTGATTGGTTGGAAAAAAAAAGCATTTCCTGATTGGTTACAGTCCGTTGCACGTCGGACATTTTTGGAACCAATCATTATCGAGAACGTTAGAAATGCAATTTCTTTGGACACCTCGAAAATCACTGTAAGGCCTGTTTTAGTTACGTCTACTAATCCAACCCGTTAAGAATATCGGTCGCCCATGTAGGATATCAAAATTCCAAGAATGACGTGGTATCGAGCAGTTGAAAACTGCGACAGGAAATCTAGAAAAGCACCTCATTATGTCATGATGGCATATTTATTTAGTTATTTAGTTATTTTTCAAATGTGTAAAACGAATAAAAAATAGTCTCACACTTTTCCGTCTTTTATGTTATCTATATTAGTTATGCAAAGCTTTTGAGTCGTATTTCATGGAATATCCGACGAGTCACTTGTAGTTCCTCAGTGTACACACAATCCTTTAGGCGAGTGTGTTGACCAGGTAAGTAACAAGTGTGACATTCCTTGGAATACCACGAGAAAGCGTTGCATTACTATTTTATACCATACCGTAGAAAATACGGTGATGGGACCGGCGCGCAGCGCACAATGGAAAAGCTGGGTGCCATACCGTGGAGTAATACAACGGCTTTCCTGTGTTGATTGGCTGTATTTTAAATGCAATGTATTAGGCTTGCAGTCTAGTAACCTTTTCTCTTAAGATCCAACGAGTGCTGAGCACGAGCGCAAAAACTCGTCCCGACCCCACACCGCGGTCTCGACCTTCGCCTCCTTTTGGGGGAATCTATCGTAGTTATGTTGGGCAAGCAAGGCAGGCCGGTCTGGATCCGCAATATTTTGTCCTTCCCAAGGGCCACCCCGTTGCATTCGGGCTTTTTTAAAATCCCCCGTGGATAACAATTTTACTAAATGCAATCGACGAACTCAAGATAAAATAATGAGAGGATCTGTGAACAGACTAGATCCGCGACAAAAGCCAGTGAGACTATGACGGCTTCGTAGAGCAAGCGATTAGTTACCAGTAGCTGGATTCATAGAAACGCTAATCAAAAGCTATATTTAAATGAGTTGTCTACAACCAAGACTACACAGCGTTTGTGCCATGTCGACATTGCAATGACAAACTGCTGATCTCAACTTTGGTAGAGATTTATATTATTTTTGTTTTTACATTAATATCCAGTCAAATAAGTTAATGTCGTTCCCAAAAACAGTGTTATCTGTCGAGTGTAACATTCCGGAAAGATCCTGGGAGGAGATAAAGAAACCATAAGTAAATCATCAGATTCTGATAAAAACAAATCAAAAAATCGAAAACGACAGCCACGACAGTGGGGAATATTCCGAACTAAGATCACTTGTTCAAGAACGGCTAAAGTCCCCTATTTCTTTGTTCACAAGGGATCAACACCACCCCCATCGTGGGTGCGGTGGCTTCCCGTTGTCTCGTATGGAGGAAAAAATAGCGCTCCTTATCAGCGATGTCTGCATCTTCGACGAAAAATAAATGAATTAAAAAATGTCATATTCATACCATCTCCGGGATGTTCGTTTCGTTTCCCAGGAAAAGTGTAAGAGAGTCCCGTCGTACTGTTGTATAAAACAATTCTATCGCTGTCGTAACTGGCTGCATAAAGTGTTCGAAGATCAGCAAAACTGTAGAAGACAAAAAATTCTTTCAGAGAGGCTCAAGAGAGAGGCTCAACATTTCGGCAGCTTTGTTGGTTCAGTAGGAACCACTGCTTACAAAGAAAAAGTAAACGTTTATCATAGAAAATTCGACCGGGGAATTTGATTGTCTAGTCGTCATATCTTTTTGCACATTTCAATTCGGGGATTGCTCTTACTTTGGTTCAAGCAAAATGGGTGACAGGCACGTAAAGCGAGCGCAATTCAAAAACTTGATCTAAAGCAGCACGGCCTACCTCACGCTGGAGGGTCCCTCGAGGCCACCACCCGCAGCATAAACGTCGATGAAATTACCTGAAACAACCAAAACATTCCGATGGAAAAGTCGTACCTTCAAAGTTGTTGCTTGATCAGTTGAGCCTGAGTTTTCAAGTGCCCCCTCGAGGGACATGTTGAGAGCAGTACCCACTATCCGTCTTACGGTGCGACTACTCGAACCGGGCCACTTGGAAAAGAGTTAACCAATCAAAACTTTACTTGAGAACAAAGAATAGCGATCATTTTCTTAAGTAAACCAATAACATTTAATAATACAAACAACATAGTTCTATTACAAAATTGGATACCCAACAAAAGTGTGACTTGTTGCGGACCTCTCAGGAAACGTTGCCACTTGTTGATTGGTTTGTTTCGATCCTAAATTTTTAGGTTTAGGTTTAGTTGTCGCGAGACTTGACTACGAGTAGTCCCTCTTTCACTTAGTCCGTCGAGCGAGAC